GATAAAAAAAAAAAAAAAAACGACCACACTAGCAACTCCTTAGGAAATGAGATTGCAAATGATCACAACAATGAAATATATAAAATCACACCAGATGAAAATCGTGACGAAAGGCCGCGCACGCCGACCAGGACGAGCATCAATGAAAAATGAAACTGTACATAGAAAATGCACTGTGTATGAAAAGTCGTCAACGACGCAAAGTACCTGTCACTGAAAACAGAACTGAAAAATGCAACATATACAATGTATCCTACAGGCTACTGCTAAGGCAGTGGTACCACTGTACCACATGTCGAAAAAAAAATTAAACGAAACTGTAGTGTACAAATCGTGTCGTAGCTACTCTGCAAACACGCTACTGGTCCAACGCTACTCTACGAACACCACACTGCTACCAAAATCATACAGATCCAAAACAAACGAAACATCATCTAATACATCTGCAGCATGCTGCACGCACACAAGCACTAAGAGCCTAACCACACTAAGAGGAGACAAGACGACCAAAAAAACTAGGACCGCACAACATGACGAACCGCAGTGCGAGCAGGGGAAAAAGCAGTGTTAGCCTCATCAGTGAACGATGATTCTTCCCCTTCCCGCTCTGTCTCCTCCCAGCCCCTCGAGTGCCGGATGTCGAACTCGTCCTCCCTCGTGCTGATGAAGAAGTCTGTGCACCGCGCCGTGTGGCTGCACGCGTCGGCGGGGGAGGTGGGGACCCGTGCTCGTCGTCGTCGTAGTCACCATCGGAACCGCCCTCGCTGTCCTCCTCTCCCTGGTCCTCGCCCTCATAGTCCTCCTCCTCCTCCCGCACTGGGACATCTGTGTCAGGATCATTCTCCTCGACGGTGACAGGGCCTCCTCCCTTCCGCAACACAACAACCCTCGCACTCGCCTCTGCAACAGTCTGCTCACGGCGCGATCCACGAGGCATCCCCAACCCCTCTGCCCCCTAAGTCTCTCCAAGTGCATCTCCTACCTGTGCGGGCACGGGGCGTGGACGAGGAGGCACACCGCGCTTGCGCGGAGCCTGGTCATGTACGGCACGCGTCGCTGCTTTCAGAGCGTGCTCCAAGCTCTCGGCGGACAATCCTCTGCCACGACCTCGCTGAGGCTCACAACCTGATGCTGCCACCTCCCTTGCTGCGGTCGTCCTGCCACCGCAGGGTCCAAAACCCGGTTGTAGACGTGCGGTGTGCTCCGTGACACGGCGGGTGGAATCCAAATCTATGTTTGTCCTCCCAAACAACCCCATGTGATCCTCATCCCCCACAACCGCTGTAGTGTCCCGAATCCTAAACCTCCCAAGCGTGTGTGGAGATCGAAAGCCTCTGCCTGTGGGCGACGATAACGGATCACCTACAGGTGGTCTAGGAGGAGGGGGTGGCATGTCTCGTGTACGTCGCGCCGTCTCCACGACCCCGCCTGAAACCCCTGGAACATCTCCCGCCATACGTGCACCGGTGGAGGTAGACCCAGACCACGCCGGCAATGCAGGACCCCATGGAACTGGAGGGATCGTCTGCCATGGTGGATGCTCGAGCCTCTGGTAAAATATCCGCCGGTCCAAGCGAGTCACATCGCGGACAGCGTCTCTCGCCAGCTCGTCTGTATCCAAAGGACGACGGACCTCCTGCGGAGCGAAGTGACTAGGAAGATGCGGTGACGCAACCACCGGCTCAGACCCCAAATCAATGATAACGGGCGGCGACACACCATGGACTGCCACCGGCACCGGCTGCGAATGTCGGCCCTCCACCATGTGCAGACCGGAGAATGGAACGACTGGACTCATGGCTGTATCCTGGACCATACATCGTGCCTCCCCCGCACCCTCGTCTCGCCGTCGTCCTGCCTGCACAGCCTCATCCACCGCCTGTCGCAAGACCTCGACATCAATATCCGCTGCCTCTCACTCACCCTGCACAGCCTCAACATCCGGCGGTGCTACCACTCTCTCCACAACGTCCTCCCCCGCCACCACCCCACCCCGCACACCCCGCCCCCCTGCTGATGTTGCCACCTGCTTCTCCCGCTGCTCCTCCACCTGCTCCTCCCGCTGCTCATCCACCTGCTTCTCCACATTATCCTCTCTCACAACCACCCCAGTGACCCCACCCTCCACACAACCCCCCTCTGTCTCTCGACGCCTCGCCTCCTCCAACGCCCGTGCGAACGCCTGAGCACGCGGGTTAGTCGATGCCATAAGACGAGCCCTCTCTCGCTCCATGATGTCGCGTGCCGCATCTGGAGACTCCGTCGTCGTCTCTCTCTGGGGCTGCACGAGACTCTCTCCAGCCGTGACGTCCCTTGATGGAGCGCGATCCGTCGATGTCGCCCCGCCGCAACTACGTGGAAGGCCCATCGACAAATCCAAGTCTAGGTGGTTCCCCATCTGTGAATCGGAGATCCCCAACCCCCTCGCCACACCTTGGGTCATGCCCCCCATGACCGGATCGAACTGCTCCGTCAGGAACTGCTGCATGAGGCACTCGTCATCGCCCTCCGCCTGTGTCCCTATCTCCTCCTCCACTTCTCCTGCCACTCCCCCCTCCACTGCACCTGCTCCTCCAGCCACTCCAGCTGATGCTACCGCAAGGGTATCCAGTGCAGTTGCTCCTCCACCTGCTCCTCCCGCTGCTCTCCCGTTGCTCCTCCACCTGCTCCTCCCGCTGGTCCTCCCGCTCCCCCTGGCGGTGGTGCGTCCTTCGCCATCACTGAAGTTTCCATCTCCTCTACCAATGAAGCCGCTGCTGCAACGGCTGCCTCGTCCACCACGTCTGCAATCGTCGTGTTCGCCAATCCCCCCTCCACTTCCATCTCCCCCTCCACTGTTGCTGCCGACGGTCCCCCCTCCTCCTCCAAGACCCCCGGAGAAGGTGATCGTAACCTCAACTGTCGGACTGCCCCGCCTCTATGGAGTAATCCGTGCGGAGGCAAAGAGGACGCCAACTCCTTCGTGGCCTCTGCTGCTGTGGTCGGCTGATGTGGCGACAATGGCGCAACGGGCGATGGCGGTAATGGACTCCGAGCAGAAGGGGGCGGCATGGACGACTCCCGCCTCGTCCGAGCGGGACTTGTCGCCCGCGCTCCGGTGCCGCCCGTGGAAGCGACCTCCCCGAACAGTCCCCACAACTCCTCCTCTCCCCCCATCATCTCCTTCTCCGCCCGGTCTGCCTCCCGTCGTGCAGTATGCGCCCTGGTCTCCTCCTCCTCGGGATCCTCGTGCGTCTCGTCGATCTCACGGGCAATGCGGAGCGCGGGGTGGTCTGCTGCCTCGGGTATCGGCTCCTCGTCGAAATCATTGTCCCTGGGGTAAGGACGAAAAATGGAAGCACGTTTCGCGAATACGGCCTCAGAGGCGGGCGGTGCGCTGGTCCCGATGGGATCCCACGTGATAAGCGCAACCAGACGGGCAATATCCTCTGGCGTCATCCCTCTGCGCGTGCCCGTGCACACTGGCTCCAACTCCAGTCCGGCCTGGCAGTCTAGCATGCCCTCGTCCCACTGCTATGGAAGCACATAACCGCACCCAACTCGCCGATACGCACACAACCGCACATTGATGGTGATCTCAACCAGCTGAACGACCTTCTCAAAGGCCAACTGGTTGCGCTTCTTCGTGTGAATGCCCTCGTGGACTGCCCAGTTCCTCTCCGCTGGAGAGGTGCAAGACCACATGTGCATCACATGAAGAGCGCAACGCTGCTACTCAGGCGCGGCAGCCCCGAACTGAGACCACCAGGACGCGCACTCAATCGTCTCCCTGTCGCCGCTGCAAGCACGGCCACGAGCATGCCCCTCCCCAATCCCCAAATACACCCTGCTGCATGTGGAAGTCCTCAAACTGCCGACATGCAACGATGTACTCCGCACCATCCTCTTGGAAACCCGTCTGCGTCAATATGTACCTCTTGGCTTGCCTCACAAGCCAAGCACGGTAACCCCTCACCTCGCCAGAAAAGTACTGTACATGTCGCCTGCGGGGGTTCAGTAAGAACCCCGCGCAGTGAGCAGGCTCCAGCATGTGCTGTGTGCGAACCTGTACACGCCTGACGATGCGGTCTGCGAAGACCCTCCCCAAAGGAGCGCATGCATCAGTCACACGCACGACAAGATCCTGTGTCCACTCAATCATGAGGGACATGTACTGTCCCCCACGATTCATCCGCCTGAGCAGCTCCATGACGGGCTGCATGATGTGGAGTATGGTGGCCATCGTCTGCCACCAAGGCTCCCATCTGATCTGTCGGCGCACCCAACGCGCCATGTCCACAACATCGGTAGACCGCGAGATAGAAGCAAACTCCCGCCCTTGATCCCCTCGCATCATCGCCTGCAATGTGTCCTGCAGGCCCAACAATCTCTCCAACATACAGTAAACTGACGCAAACCGCGTCTCACAAGAAGGCACAAGCCCCTTGTTGGGGCTGTGCTTCCTAAAGAAATGCAGGGCGGCCTGGTGGGTTTTGAAAAACACCACCAACACATGAGCGCGTGTAATAGCATCGACAAACCTGTCGCAACTAGTCCCCATGTCTGACAACAATTTGTTGCAGACATGGACGGAACACAGAAGCCATGTGATCCTCCTGAGTGCAGGAGGCATGGTCAACGAGGCCAATGCCCTCGCAGCCCCCGCGTACGCCGAAGCGGAGTCTGTGCATATGGCATTGACCCGCTGCGGGCCGTCGAAACTAAACTCGTGGAAGATGGTCACCCATCTCCGAACAACGTGCACTGCATCGTCCGGCTCGCCCTCGCGATTGATCGTCGTGTACACGACGACCCCTCGCGAGCCGGGGGCAAGGAAATTCACAATCGGTCTCCCGTCTCGTGATTTCCTCCCGTCGGAGAGGAGGGTGGCACCAGTGATCCAAGATGGCTGCCTCACCTCCTTCAATTCCTCCGCCAGCTCCTCGCGGTGGGTCTCTACCGCCCGCATACTCGCAATCTCGCTGTGGCTGGGGAGCACAGCGAGCGGGGAACTCCCAGGCTGCTCAAGAAGCATTTGCTGGTATGCCTTCCACGCCTGGTTGCGGAAGGCATTGAAGGGGACCCCGCTGGAATAGAGCCAGCGAAGGAACGCCTTCTTGTGGCGAGCAACCCACTCGCCACCGCAGACGTCAGTCACCTTCTGCTGGCAAAGCCTCTTCCCAGCTGGGGCGGCGGCCGGATCTGCTCCACCTTCCTTTTTCTTCGAAGAACCTTCCCCTACAGGTCCCTTGGAAGCCCGCCTCAAATAGTCCTCCATCCTCTCCTCTCTGCCTGGACGAAACTCAGGCACGTCCTCGTGTCTCGAGACTACCTCCTCGCCCGGGACACGCGCCTCGCGATCAACGTCGATCGCCTCCTTCGTCGTGTATCCACCTCCACCATCTCCCCCAACCCCTCCTGACGCTCCCTCCACGCGGCGTCGTCCCGCCTCTCCTCCCCTCACACCACCTGAGCCTGGCACATCGAGTCCCCGCTCCGCCGCGTACCTCGCAACCCTCTCCATCTGATCGCTCTCGAACTTCTGCTGACAACGTCGCGCGATCTCGTACAAAGCCTCGTCGCTGACATCCTTGCAGTAGTTCGTCTGCGTGAAATGTCTGGTTGCTTGGAACTCGGTCCCCTAAAAGACTTTGTTGCAGAATGTGCAACGCAACATCATTACCGCCTTGTTGTCGACCTTCTGGTCGACAACCAGGTAACAGTACACAAGGGAGCGTCCCCTAAAAGTCTCCCGCGTGTGAACAACCCCCTGTGAGCCATCCCACCACCCTCTGATAAACCCCCTCAGCACCCTGATGAACGCCCCCAGTACCCCGACCGCCGATCAGCCCCGAACAACCCCAGCGAACCCCGTCGAACCCCATCCAGACCCGCGCGTTCAATCGCGTTGAACGCCGTTCAAACGCGTTCAATCGCGTTGAATCGCGTTTCGACGGCGTTCGTCGGCTTCGCGCACATCCGCTTTCCGCCGTCGTCGACCATCTCCGCCGCATCCCCGCCATCGCCGCTCCGCTCCGATGCCTTCCACGCTCCACGCTCCGCTGCGCTCCTCGCTCCGCGCTCCGTCTCTCTCTCTCTCCCTCTCTCTCTCTCTTTCTCACTCTCTCTCAGTCTCACTCTCTCTCTCTCTCTCTCTCTCTCTCTCTCTCCTGTCTCTTATACACATCTAGATGTGTATAAGAGACAGGCGTTCGTCGGCTTCGCGCACATCCGCTTTCCGCCGTCGTCGACCATCTCCGCCGCATCCCCGCCATCGCCGCTCCGCTCCGATGCCTTCCACGCTCCACGCTCCGCTGCGCTCCTCGCTCCGCGCTCCGTCTCTCTCTCTCTCTCTCTCTCTCTCTCTCTCTCTCTCTCTCTCTCTCTCTCTCTCTCTCTCTCTCTCTCTCTCTCTCTCTCTCTCTCTCTCTCTCTCTCTCTCTCTCTCTCTCTCTCTCTCTCTCTCTCTCACGCGCTATGGGGCCCCTCTCTCTCTCTCTCTCTCGCGCGCGCGCATGCGCGCATTCCAACAGGACGGGCAACCCGTTTGTCGCGTTGGAGCGTTAGTGCTCGCACGGCAAATGAGCTGTGGTTGAACACGCGGGCCTCTTAAGTACCCGTTCGGCCTATTCCCCCTGAGCCAGCCCCTGGAGGCCGCCGCAGGCCGGTGCCCCGCGGTTTTTTTTTTTTTCATCGACAAAAAAAAAAATAAAAAAAAATGAACGCAAGGGGTGGTACCCGACAACGAGGACTACCACCCGGCACCATCAAAAACCCCACACCCCCCCCCAAGACGCGCGGAAAACGGGTTTGCGGACCCCGTTCATTCGCGTAGAACGCACGTTTGAACGGGGATTGAACGCGAATTCAACGCACGTTCAATTTTTCAACGTGAAACGCGCGTTGAATCCGATTTTGGACACACAGTTAGAAAGGGAAGCAGCGTGAACCGCTGGTTACTTACCCTCCCTCTGGAGGAAGCTGCCTTGACCTCGTGCGCGTCCCATTCCTGATTGATCCTGTYGATACCCAATCTGGATGTTTCCAACTCMTGCACCTTAAGGAGTTGCTTCACTTCGATGGGGAACCTCTGATCGCAGAGTTCCTTGGGCAGATTGACAAGGGCATTCTTAAAGGCAGCTGCAGCGGTCTTACCCCTATCTCCATGCTGAAAGTTCAACTCAATCCGTCGCACCCTGATAAGAATGTTGAGATGCCTAGACCAGGGAGGCTGGTCATAAATAACTTGCAAAGCTTTAATCTCGTTCACTGCGGCTTTACACTTTTCCACTTCTGCAATAGCAGAGGAGAAAATCTCCCGTACACGAGAAAGTTCGGGTTGGTTGATCATAAACCTGAATTCCCTCTCATCCGCCTCCTCGCTTGAGACCATAGTTCTTACTGGATTCGAAACTGATGAAGATGGAGGAGTCTGTAAAGAGTTCCTGGCGCTAGTCGCAGGGGTGACRGGTCCTGGCCTGATAGCTAARTCAGAGTTATGCACAAGGAAGGGATCTGCCGTCCTCAGGGAATGGGGGTGAAGAGGAAAGAAACTGCCTCTGTATTCAACAAGGAATGACGAGTTCTGCGGCCAGCGTTCCTGGGAGTTAAGGCATTCCAAAACCTTCCCCTCCACCACTTGCGGAGAGGGATTCATGATTGGAAAGAAGACCTTCCACCCAACTATCGCATTAGGTCCTCGTGCCATAAGGGCGTCGAAGATGGTTTATTCCATCTAGCTGACCCTGTAGTTGGTAAAGATCATTGAACAAAGTTACACGAAATGAGTAGAGGACTCATAGAATTCCTCATCCCTCTTACATTAGACACATTTCTTAGCTGAAAATCTTCATAACTTCCTTGATCCGTAAGTCTTCCTTCATTCATCATTCCTTCTACCATCACCTTCCTTCTTCTTCCCTTCTTCTTCAATTCTCTTCTCTCTTTTTCTACTTCGCCATTTCAAAACGCCTCCTCCCTTTCTTTCACACTTCCCCCTCCTTACCTCCTTCACCTTATTCCTACCTACCCCGCTCACGCCGCTTACACTTCCTCCTTCTGCTTCACTCCTGAATCCCTACGTCAGCCTTCTCTTCTTCCTATCCATTTACTGCTTCCTTCTCCTCTTCCTTTCCCTCACTTCTTGCCTTCCCCTTTTCCTTCTTCCTCCTTCTTTTTCTTCAATACCCTTCCCGTTCTTCTTTTCATTTTTTTGCTTCTGCTTTCTCTTGCAGGGGAAGAGGGAAGTGCACATTGGGAAAACACAGTAACCACACTCTTAAAGAGTTCAGATGCAAGAAAGAACTTGTTTGAGCTTCATAGTCCAAAAGTTAAACATAATACAGAGTTTTGTCACAGTTCACTTGCTCCAGAAGCGGTTCTAGATAAAATATGTTCAAGAAAGCTGGTAAAACATTCATGATCCTAGCCTTGCACCCTTCTTGCACTAGTCATCTCCAGCGTCATCGGACTCAGGCTCAGCTGGCACAACATACTCTGAGTTCTGAATGATCGTGGAYATCCAATCACTGGGTCCACCAGCAAGCCAAGTGCACATRCGAGCTGCTTGCGCACAGTAATCAGACAGGCCGGCTAGAACGTCCAAGAGAAGGTGGATCAGGGTGGAGWGGAAAGAGGAYGGGAAATCGGAATTAGCGAGAAAATTCCAGATATGATTGATATCGTTGAGCTGAATAATTCTCATTTCTTCTGGTCTAGTTGGAGGGCAAGGAAGCTCAGCTAGCGCAAAGCCCAAGGCGAGGAAAGCRGCCTGCCTAAGAGAACATTGCAGAGGCTCTCACCTTGCAGGCTAACCAGTTCTCTACCGGTGGTTACATCAGTGGTGTGCATAGTAAAAATCATCGCCCAAAACCAATTACGTAGTATTGATGCCCAGACCTCGAGATCAACTACCCAAAAGGCTGTTGTATTTTGCTGCCCAACCATAGGAACCTTGCCAATAGCTCTCTGCTGCAAGTGCAGAACCAGTTGGATGMTTTGCAGAGCRTCGTGGAAACCACCCATCTTTGAGAAACAGCTGACTGCCTCCCAATTGACGAATTGTAGGARGCTTGYTGACCCAGGGTCAGCCAGGGATGCTTGYTTATAGTCSAAAACCAAGAACTTCGACAGATGGATCAGAATCTGCTTGGGGCCTTCGTAGATTGGTGGCCTGAATTTCCTGATGACTGCTGCCATCTTGCAGCGAG